TACATGATATTGTCCGGCAAGAAAATGTACTTGTAGCTAGAACATTGCATTGGAACACAACTTTGTTGATCCATTATCAAAGATGTCATTGATCAATAATTTTGATCATCATCTGGATAACATTGGAGTCAGGTGCAATTTGAATTGGCTATGAGGGCAAGTGGGAGCTGTTGGGATTTATATGCCCTAGCATAGCAAATTCCTGTTTGGATTAAAGTGACATATGTTCCTGACGTTTCTGAAATATTTATGTTTTATACAATTGGTGAATTCAATGTATTATATTTCGATTCATTATAGAATTGATAGTGTCCATTTGATTACAAGAAATATTTATATATATATATGTGATGGCAATCAATGCATGATATATAAATAGTAATCATAAATGGTTCATAGTCGGTAATTATGGATGGACTCATAATTAATTAAGATTTGAACTGGATCCGCGTTAGGTTGAGATATATTGTGAGAGCCGTCGTATGCAATTGCTCCCTATCATCGTCATGGCATTTGACTCTTAAGCATGAGAAAATTATAGACTCTTTTATTAATTAATAATTACTTTGATTTGTTCGGCGGATTTTTCGGGATCCTTAGACCGACACTTTGGGTAGTTATGTAATTGATAGTTAGAGGGTTATATTTTCAATATTTGCATCATTGTTACTTGTATTTATTTTGTATTGATTATGGTTGATCACAAAGTAAATTCGAAGGCCTTCGTGTGTTTTTAGACAAAATGATTTATTATATATTTATTTATTTAAATTATTATTTTTGTCAAACAAATGTTTTATTGTGATCGAGTCAGAAATAATCAATGGTACCAAAATAAATATATTAATTAAGTAGTCGGATTGATGGCTTTATTTATCCGATAACTAATTAAGAATAGAGGGGTCAAAATGCAATATTGACTTAGAGGTTATTTATTATTTAATTGGAGTTCAATTAATTTCTTTTAGTGGAGTAGAAATTAATTTATGAATTAATTGAATTGGGTCCATGGACCGGGCCAATTATTAATTCATTGTAGCCAATAAAATAATAGGCCCAATGGATTCTCACTCATAGCCCAACTTGATATTGGAATCATATTAGATTTGAGACATATGAATTAGAGATTGAGAAGGATTTGTGATTTCCTTTTCTTTATTTTTATGTTGCCTATAAATATACATGGTCTATGTATATTTTGGGTGTGATTTTTGGAAAGAAGGGAAAATGAATAAATTTTATCTCTCTAGAAAATTAGGGTTTATGTTCTTATCTAATGGAGGCTCCCACAAGTTTAGTTTTCCAAGGTCATTCATAGAGGCATATGAGTGATTCCTAAAGGCAAAACAATTACCAAGAAGATGGAGATCCAAGGAGAATCCATCTTGCTAAGGGATCTACAATAAGTGAGAACATTCACTTTAGATGAGAGATCTAAGGTTTACTCAAACCTTGATGTAAGTATTCAATCTTTTAATTGAATGATACATCATGTTTTATTTTTACATAAAACTTGTCTTTATATAATGAATCAAGATCTATGAATTTAAATCCCTCAAAAAGTTTTTAAAACTAGCACGTTTCCCTACACAGACCTCAGTAGTGAGGGGACCGAACACCGCTAGATGGAAGACACTACATTGGACTGGTGCCTAGGTCAACGTGCCAAATTTTGACTATTGTCATCTACACTGGGTGGCATTATGCAACCCACTGTTTTGCCCCCAATATGATGGACGAGGAATCATGATGTAGAGACCCATCCTTATATAAGAACGAGGAAACCCGTTGTCAACAGATGACTTTGGGATGGTTTCCATGATTGGAAACCTTCGTATTACCGTCCGAGCCAAGTTGCGTTAGAATTATTATTTCTTCAGGGAACGAATCGTTCCCACAGACGGCGCTAGTTGTTGAAACGAAAATCTTTGCAACCCGGAATGGCAACGTTTACTTGCAAAACAACGGGACGTCATCTCGAATGGCACTGGTGGGATACCAACCGAGGACCCTCCGACAATTAAGTTAGTACTTGTAATCGTATAGCATAAGAATAAATGGACTGAATGTTTGGTGCTTACTCATCCCACATAAAAATTTGGAAGTTCAAGTTCCTATTTTTTTAATGTTCATTGCACTTTTTTTTTTATTCAAATTTTTTTTTTTTTTAATTTTTTTTTTTGCACTTGGTTTCTTTGTGACTAAATATTTTGTGGCTTGAAGACATTTTCCACCTGCTCAAACCCACCCATTTCATTTGCCAAGTCTAGTATTGGAACCTATATCTATTCTCCACTTGCTTAAACTCATGAGATGATATTGTAGAAATTTTTACATAGTCCAGGACGCCAATGACATGCAATTGTGTCAGCTTTCTGTTTATGTAATGAATTGTTTATAAGTCCAAACAGATAACCATACATGGATGAGATGAGCTCCAACAGTTGTGATTGCTAGATCAAAGAATATATCTTAAAATGGATAAAATCAATCTTACACGCCATGGATACGTTTTAAGGAAGGGATGGAAAAGCTAGTGAGTGGAGAGAAAGGTTGTGATCAAATTCACATAGGGTGAGGTTAACCATATCACGTGTGGATCCAGGGCGGCCCTGACCCAAGGCGACCAAGGCGGTCGCCTAGGGCCTCAAGATTTATAGGGCCTTAAATGTTGTAGGCCTATTGATGATGGGCTTTAAAAAAAAAAAAAAAAATTAAGACGATTGACTTAAAATTTGAAAATGCCTCAAATATTAGCCCATCTTTGTATCTCATTGACAAAATTTAATATGAATTATATGATTATCTTATGCCTTTTGCTTTTTCTTTTCCCTTTATGCCATTTTCTTTAAAGTAGGCACACAACCTCATATATTTGTTACCTGTTGGATAATAAAAAATTTATTTATATGTTTTCTGCCCTTTGAGTAGTCAAATCTCTTTTATACTTTATATATATTTTATATATATGATCATCACACTAGCTACAAGCTTACAGTTAAGTGCAAACCAAACATAGAACATTCTTACTTTTCGAAAAAAATTACAGAACACTCTTGGTTGTTGGCTCCTCAATATCTTGTTTTGAATTTTCATTTTTCCATAGCTGAACTCTTAGTCTCCTGTCTCTGCAGACTATAACTACTTTTCCAATTTTTATATCTCCAATTTTTACAAAGGTTTTTTTTTTCGTCCATATATATATATATTGTATTTTTCATCGATTGATTTTTTCTATTGTGACTTATATAATATTATCTCTTTTTAGGATCTGGATATCATGAGGTATATATATATATATATATATATATATATATTTTCTGTAAATCATATTATTGCATATTGAGCCATTGAGGTAATCTATATTTTCTTTTGGCAAAACATTTTTTTTTTTTAAGTTTAGTTTTATGTTGATTGTGTTTATGTTATTTAGGTTTCAAGATATTCATTTTGATTGGGCATAAAAAATTGGTTCTAGAGATTTCACTTTGATTGGGCAAAAAAAAAAAAAAAAAAAAAAACGTTTTCCAGTAAGGGAAATTGTTGTGTTAAGACATATTTGTAATTCTTTAATTATTTCCTCCAAACTTTTTTAGGATGTGGAGTAATTCTCTCACAGATTGGCAATTTTTTTTTTATAAAATTATTATTTCATAGATTAGAATGCATAAAGTTGGAAGTTCTTATATAATTATTGTATGACAAATGAATTTGTTGTAATACCGGTGTTCCAATTCAGCAATCTTTCACTTGGAAGTTTTAAGGACAAATCAATTAGAAAAACAAATCATTGCATTGAGGTTATATCAATATTTTATTTCAGCAACCTAGATCAATTCATTGCATTGCATTGCTTTGTGGTAATATATATTTTATTTCAGAAAAAAAATTATTTATATAACTTCTATTTTTTTTTTTTCTAACAATTATGACTACAAGAAAATTTGAATCTGGGCATGAAAAAAGAAAAAAGAAAAAAAAAAAAGAGGAAAGAAGAAGAATTGATTCAAGGGCTTCATATTTAAAGTTCGCTTAGGGCCTTTTAAGATATTTTTAATCTCCAAATTAAAATTCTTTGTTATCAATAATTAAATTATTATGATTCAAAAGTATATCCTATGGTCCAGATAAGTGAGTCAACTACTTGATATGGATCATATACATATATTTATGCAAAATTATACAGTGAAAACATACTATTGAAAGACAAATTTCAATTAAAGCAAGAAGTCATATTCATGGTTACAGTGACTTACAAATTTCCATTTTTTATTTTTGTTTGTTGGGTAAACCATAGTTTTACACTGACACATGATTTGTATATATTATTTACGGGTAAGCAGCATTTGTAGACTACTTCCCTTATGCATAGAACTACATCAGAAGAAGAAAGAAGACAAGTTGGATACGACATATCACATAAAATTAAATTAAGAGACAATCAATATTTTTTTAATTTATAATAATAACTACTATTATCCAATATAAATTATTAATATTTTTTTAATAATATTACAATATCAAATATAAATATTTTTCTAATAACATTACAATATTTTTTTAATAATATTACAGTACACCCAAAAAAAAATATTACAATATCAAATATAAATATTTTTCTAATAACATTACAATATTTTTCTAATAACATTACAATATTTTTTTAATAACATTACAGCACACCCAATCCAATTATTATTTACGGGTATACTAAAAAGCAGCATTTGTAGACTCCTTCCCTTATGCATAGAACTACATCAGAAGAAGAAAGAAGACAAGTTGGATCCGACATATCAAGTAAAATTAAATTAAGAGACAATCAATATTTTTTTAATTTATAATAATAACTACTATTATCCAAATATAAATTATTAATATTTTTTTAGTAATATTACAGTATCAAATATATATATTTTTTAATAATATTACAATATTTTTTTAACAACATTACAATATTTTTTTAATAATATTACAATCCAATCCAATCCATTAATCAAATCACCAATTATTATTTTTTTAAATCATCGGGTCATGAGATCTATAACCCGAACTGATCACCCAACTATGAGATCTAAATACCGAACCTAATCACACATATCAAATTATTTGCTCACCTCTATTAAAATTGTTCCGTCCTTGGGGAGAGATGGACACGTAACGGATTCTTCATCACAACAGTGAACTCTTGCTTCTCTGATAGATCAACATCGCCATCATCACCAGCCTTCCATTTGAAATACCAAATCAAATTAGCAACAAAATACTCCAAATGAAGCAAAGCCAAACCTGACGCCGGGCAAATCCTCCTTCCCGCTCCGAATGGCATCATCTTGATTTCTCTGCTCCCAGTTATGTCAAAACCACCAGCTTCTCCTCCGACCACCGCCTCTTTATCAGCACCACCGCCATTCCCAGTAGAAGTCAAGAATCTCTCTGGTTTGAACTCCATGGGGTCATCCCATACTTTAGAGTCCCACCCCATTTCGGCCACCATGAAATTGATGGTGGCATTCTTCGGCACCACGAACCCTTCTAACTCAGTCTCCTCCGTCACCGAGTGAGGCAATACGAAGTGCCCCGGCGGGTGACGCCTCAGTCCTTCCAACACCACCGCTTTCAAGTATGGCATCCTCTGCAAATCCTCCTCCTTTATCATTATCAACCCCACCTCCTCATCCGATGGTGGCGGCGGTGGCGGTGGTCCCACGACTTCGGTGACCTCTTCATAAAGCTTGGCCTGAACATGCGGGTACTTCACCAAGCTAGCCATGATCCACTGCAACGCCGTCGACGTCGTGTCAGTGCCCGCGTTGAGAAATTCCTCGCACAGACTCACCATCTCGTCGTCGTTAAGCTTCCTCTTCTCCTCCGGCAACTCCAGATCCATCAAAGTGTCGACGTACGCCACCACACCATCACCGTACTCTTCTTTCCGTTGTTTCTTGAGAGCAACTTCTACTGACCGGGCTCTGATCAGAGGGATCAATATAGCATCCTCATTCTGTCGCAGCCGTATCAGTTCTTTCCACCGATTCCGGAACAAAAATTTTCCGATGGTCGGCCAGAAATTGAGTATGTCAAATCGGTGAAAACTCAGTAACAGCTCTCGCTGAACTCTTTCAATTTCTTTGATTTGCTTTTCCTCAAGCTTGTCGCCGAAGCACATCAAGACCAGAAGACAGAACATGGCGTACTGAAAATGATCCACCACTAACACGGATTTCGATTCCGATTGCGATTTGTTGAGGCGGTTAATAAGGATGGCGAGAACCCAGTTTCGCGCCGCCGAGTAATTCTTGACGCGGGAAGGGTGGAGTATCTCGGAAGTGAGGTTGCGGCGGAGGGTGCGCCAAGTGGGGCCGTAGGCGGCGGAGCTGACGTTGTGTTGGTTGCTGTCGATGATCTTGCTGGTGGCCAGCGCCTTGGGGCGGTCGGAGAAGACGCCGCCATTCTGGACAAGGACTTTGTGTGCGAGCGAGTGGTTGCCGACGAAGATGGCCGGCCGAGACCCTATATGCAGAGTGACGATGGGACCGTACTTTTGCCGGAGATCTTTGAGGACGGGTTCGATCTCCGAAAACGACTTCCGTAGCCATAGAAAGTTTCTGATGATCGGAAAAGTAGAGGGTCCCGGCGGAAGCTTCTTTTTGTTGTTGGAAGAAGAAGAAGAAGAAGAGAAGAGGAGGTTGAAGAAGAATTTGATCAGTGCTGAGATGCATAGCGAGACGGGTCTCCATGATTATAATATGTGTGTGTTGTTTAATGACTCTGTGTATAAATAGAGGAAATCTGAGACTCTTTGAAATCCAAAATTCAAATACTACAGGAGGAAAGGGCCGAGAGGCCCACACTGATGCACAACTAATGGGTCCCACAAGCTGGTGGATATAATTTATATTTTTCCTCTTCCTTTCCGATGTTTAACCAAAATTCAATGAACGCCATCATCTGGTGTCTTTTTGTAAATTTGCATACAATATTGTTTTTAGATAATCGGTCACATGTTGGAGTCCACCGATTAACGCCACATTTTGCAACAATTATTCAAAGAGGGGGAGGATGAATAGTAACGTAATTGTGGTAGAGAAAGCGTGAGTACATTTTATCTGGGTATTAGGGGCTCAATCCAGCATTGACCTCATTTTGAACTCATTCTCTGGCTTGAACTTGACCTCGAGTTTAGAGTGGAACTAGTAAAACATGTGACTTGACTCTATGGTTACTTGGAATGGATTACTTAATTTAATATTCGATTTCATTTATTTAATAGTGAAATACAAATCATTTTATTTAACTTAACCCAATCACTGATTAAGAACCATTCAATTCATTTGTTATCCTAATTAGTAATTTATATTAAAATTGCACGAGTTATCACAATATCCTATGTCGCTAGTTCTCATTTGTATAAATATATTGCATAAAAGTTAGGGTAAAGAATAATAAATTCCCTCCAATTATATCCCAAGTGCAACTAATCCTCCTTAACTATAAATAATTTCTTTAACCAACTATAAATAATTTCTTTAACCATGGTCTTTTGTAGTCTTAAGACAGAGAAAATTATTCCGGTAATCTCTTTTCACCGAAAATTTAAAAAGTTCATTTTACCCCTCATCAAATCACTAAGGCAGCTAATTAAATAGAGACAGAGAGAGAGAGAGAGAGAGGGAGAGAGAGAAATGTATAGAGAGAAAGAAGGGACCACAGAGAGAACTCAAGAAACGGCGTCCATGGCGGACGAAAAAGAATCACAAAGAGGCAACATCTATGAGAAACCATCATCATCTTCTATAGAACCTCCTCAAATCCATACTCTCTTGGTACGAATCAGCCTCTACAATCACATCATCTTCTTCTGGGTTGCCGGCGTTTTACGCCTTTGTCTGCCGGAGGTTAATTCTCTGGGCCTCCTACTGATGCAGAGAATTAAACTTATTTCTATCTGCTACTCTGCAATCCTTCATTTCGAAGAACAATTCTCAGTCCATAGTCCCAAATCAGAAACCCTAACCATCAATTAAAAAGGGTTTTTGAAAATATGCCGGAGCAATTCGTCCTCATGATCGTATTGAGCAAGAAAAGGTACACCGACGGCAGCACCGGAGGAGGAGAGGCATCGGTCTTGTTCGGTTGGGTATGGCGGTTCATTCATCTCTTGCTGGGTGCCCAATCTCACCATAACTCATTCTCCTAATGAAACCTAACGAAGTGGGTCTTCCCCTTGTGCTCATCACTCCCACCACAATCATCTCAAAACCCAACTCTGAAATTGACAAATCAGTTCCTATATTCACCCGAGCCTAACATTTTTGTTCTGTTTTCTTATAACAAAATCGTTTTTTCTGTGTGTGTCTCTGTGTGTGTTTGTGTGTGTGTCTCTCTCTGTGTCTGTGTTTGTTGGGGGGAGACTTTTTGATTCCTTCTAATTTCACATTCCTTTACCATTCAGAAAAGGGGGAAAAAAAAAAAATCTGTGCTTTGTGAATGTTGTAACCAAAAGATAAATTTAATCACAAAAAAAATTGATTTTAGCATTGAACTATGTTTTACTCTTAGATGCTTGATTTGAACTATGTTGGCATGAAGTATGTGTGAATGAGATAGGGTGATGGAGATTTTTTTTTTTTCCTGCTCTGCCCATGTGATGGAGATTGGGTTAAAGCTCAATTGCAGAGATTTTCTTTTATTTATTTTTTGTTGAATAAGTTGCATATATATATAGATAGTGAAAGAGAGGTTCAGTGTTGAGAAACAATATATATGTGTATAGAGACAGTGCAGTGGGTGGGAGAGAGGTTCAACGAGCAGAGATGATATATATATATATATAGATAGTGAGAAGAGCAGTGGTGTTTGGCTGTGTGGATAAGTTATGTGTTTGGATTGGTGGTAACAAAATGGGTATTGTTGTCCTTTCATATTCATAAGGGCACTATGATCATATACATTCAAAATGTGTGTCAAACCAACAATTCTTAGGGTAAAGGCACCGGAATGGGTAAGTTGTAACCAAACCAGTAAGTGTGGGGGATTTTTTTGCCTATTAAGATATAATTGAGGGGGGTTTATTGTACTTTATCCCGTAAGTTATGTGAATAACACACGGTGAAATGAAATTGAATGAGGCAGAGATTTGGAAGTGATACGGGAGTTAGGACTAGAGTTATGTAAATACAATTCATACGCAATTTTGACAAAAATATGGGAGTTAAAGATTACAATTATGTAAATAATATTCAACGTAATTTTGTTCACACACTCAATTTCGAACATCTCTCATTATCTTTAAGAATGGAGAGAGGTTATACAATCCCTGCTTTGGATTAACATTCTTGTATCGGCACCGCAGGCTCTTTTTCCTTATTTCATTAATAATAAAAAAATTTATTTTCACCCTTACTGTAGCTAAGACCAAGAACATTTTTTCTTCACCACTATACCAGTAAGTACCCCAGTTTTTTGTTGACTAGTGTTTGCCAAAGACTTTTGCATAGTAATCAATAAATAAAAGCAAGAATTAGGAATTTTATTATTCTTTTTAAAAAAAATTATACGAGTAAATATTATTTCATCTAGGTGGGTCATCCTAACAGATGAGTGTCAAAAGCGTAAAATGAGGTATCATTGCTGTCTCTTTCTACTGCTTGATGTTCTTACCAAACATCATCCTACTATCATAAGATTTGATTAATTTGCAACCAGAGAAAGTAACAAGAGGTTTTATGCTACAATAATATTTTAAAGTTTGTTAAATAAATGAAATGACCCACATCAACTTTGACTTATTATTACATTTTTCGAAAGTGTTTGTGAAATAAGTGTCCGTAATCCAACAAAAAGCATGTCCTTTTCGGTGGATGAATTCGTAAATTATTAATATATATATAATTTTCTTTTCAATCTTGATCTCATACTCAAATTTCAAGTTTTAACCAAATCTTATATGTATTTGTAAACTTTTATCAATATAAGTGTTCGTAATTTAACTGACTCTTTCATGTGTACATGACCTTTTTAGTAGATAGCTTATAAATTATAAAAATATATATTATATCATTTCAATCACAATCTCATACTCAAGTTTTATAAGTTACAACTGATTCTCATATGAACTTTTAAATGTTTGTGGTTTTCATGTTTTTTTTTTTTTTTTTTTTTTGAAAATTTGGTTTCCATGTTGTTAGATACACACGTATATAAGTTTTGAATTACTACTTATTTTCTGTTGCACTATTTTTAAGTGCTTTAGGGTTTATTTGGTTAGATAGAAATTGACAAAGGAAAGTGAGAGTGAAATAAACAAAAATTAGTTTTCCATGTCTTTGATTAGCATGATTTTTTTTTGGAAGAAAATATGAAAAATTATTCTTTTATGATTTTGTATAGTGTGAAACTTGAGCACAATTGGAATTTGATATATTTTTCTCAAGAAAGTAAAATTTTCGTGCTTAAACCCAAACAAAGCCTTAGACCGTAATTAGTTAGCCAAATTCTTAGAGATCATCTGATAAAACACTTAATGGTGAAGAAGACTAACACTTTTTATTTATTTATTTTTGAGGGAGTGTTTTGGGCCATTTTACAAAGTCTTGTTGGGAATTTAAGTAAAATTTTGTGGGAGCACCGTAGACCCAACATCTAGGTTCAAACCCATGTTTTATTAAAAAAATTGTCAATTTGTTACGTAGGTAATTCATTTTGAAATTTAGAGGATGTAGTGGGATTAATTACAAGTTAAGCCAAGCCATATTCTCTTGAGGAGGGTGAATAAAATACGAGTCACCTTCTAAATATGTGTTGGAAAAAACTGTATGGATAAGTTTACACCAACCTGTCAATTTATGATCTAATTTGAGATTTTCCTTGGGAGGTAGTAGGAAAGAATTGAAATGTAATAAAGAATATTGATTCATACATAAGAAAATGTTCTCTATTGATTCAAACACTGTATTTATGGAATAGGGATAGAGGAAGAGGAAAAACTGAATACACGAATTATTTTGGAAAGAAGAGATCAAAGAATCTGAACTAAAGGTACAAATTCCTTTTTACCTATTAGAATAGTGATCAGATTTTTTGCCCTATAAGAAGTGATTTGATTTTTCACAATGTCTATATAAGCTTCCAAGATATTACGCAAGAAAGCTAGGCTTCTTTGATCATTTGATTTTGTCTTCTCAAGTAATATGGTCTTTAAATTCTAGAAGAATTGACGGTGAGAGAAAAAAATTGATGGTTAACTAATACAAAGTAAGTGTCATGTTGTTCGAGTAATTAAGTTGTTCTCCGTATTTGGGAGAACATGTTCGAACCTTACACCCTCTTCTTTTAGCAACTAATTCCTAAAATTCTTGAATTTAAATAAATAAATAAATAAAAATTTGTATTAATAGGAGAGATTTGACCAGAAGTGAAAGAAGAACAAAACATGTGCCTACGTAATCGTCTTTAAGGGAGCAATAAAGAAGGATAAAAGTTCAAAGAAGCTGAATTGAAGAGGAAGGCAGAGAATTTTGGAGAGTGAAGAATAAAATATGCTAATGTTACAATTTACTCCTGTACTTTGAAGTAATGATGTTGGATTCGTGAAGTAATGATGTTGCATTCTGGAAGAAAAAAATAATTCATATGCACAACAAATACAACGCAAAAATTAGTACGGGAGAGGATCTGGTTCTTGCCGGTTGATGAGGTCGTATTCTCTGCAATATAAAACCTACATTTAGGTGTTTGATCAAAATGAATTTAACACCTTGTTTGGAAGTTGTTGAGAGAGGATGACAGAGGAAGGACTGACTCTCTCTTGCAAGACCAAACTTCAAATTGTGATTTCGCGGTTAGCAGTAGCAGCCCAACATTGCCAATGTTCAACTCATCGACCTCATAAACAAAGTCTGCAACCAGTTCAAACAATTCTTTGATGTATACCTTTAGAATCAGATTCCAAGCTCATAAACATATAGAATACCCTATATATTCAGTCCAAATGCCCTGGGAGCACCACCTCTCAGAATATCATATTCACTCCAAAATAACACCGACATTTCACGTCTCTCTTACCAGCCTCATCTATGATCAGCCTTACCATCAAGCATGAAAGTTGTGCTGTGATTTGTTTTCCCACAATGTGAAAAAACCAGGGAGTCACAACTTGCTTTGATATGTCCAATCCAATGCCTCTCTGCACCACTAGGTTATGATGAATAAGAACAGTGAGTTGCACCATAACATAGAAGCAATATTATACAAAGACTATGGAGAACACAGCACTATTGAAATACTTATCTAATGATATAAAAATATAACAATTAATCTAGAGAAAAAAAGAGAGTAACAAATTCACTTCCTTCAAAGTTGAGCTGCTACTGCCAGCATAACTAGTGCTCTCAGAAGCATGCACAAAACCACTTTCCACCATTCTTCAATACATTTTCTTGTTTACTCTGTTTTAATGTAAAGAAGACAGATTAAAGGTCACTATATTATCTGGCATTCTTTATGCATTACAGTTACGTTAATAAAGGGCAAACCCAGTGCACGAGGCTCCTGACAATTGCGGTGTTTGGAGAGGGTCAGATATACACAGTCTTACCTCTAGCATGCAGAGAGGTGTTTTCTTATTTTGAACTGTGAAACAACCTTATCATTGGGTCAACGGGGCCCTCCATTTAATATAACTAGCATTTCAAGAAAACATAACTAAAATCTTCAAAAAAATTTGACTTGTTTGGTTTGTAAATATGGAAACAGTTTTTTGTTCTCTAAAAATTGAAAACAAAAAACTGTACAAAAAACTCTCTTAATTCGGTTTTTTGAAAACTCAGTTATAATAAAGTATGTATTCAAATAATTATGATGAGCAGTGTTTCAATATCTTTTATAGTGGTGTAACCATATAACAAATGCTTCAAGGGCAATAGTAATGTTTTTTTTTTTTTTTAAATCTTTGATTGTATTTGCTGTGGAGCAGTATTATCATTTACGGACTTGTGGGCTTTGAATATTCTGTTGATTTACCATAATGTGTAGTGTTTTTCCAAATTTAGACCTCCGAAATGTGCACTGCAAAAACCCTCTTTCCCAACCGTTGCGCCCTAAAATAACTTCATTAGTGAGCCCAATGAGTCAGCTATCGTTCGGTGTTCCTCTGCACGGTAGTCACCATGTTACAGACCTGTGTGCATGCTTTTTGATGGATTCATGAAAATCCTTGACCTCATTTTCACAGAGCACTGTTCTGCAGAGCAATTACAGAGCTTCAGATTACAGGGCTGCTTCGAATCCTTGACCTCATTTTCTAAATCAAATTCGTTTCATTATTCTTTTAACTCTCTTTGTAAATGCAATTGCATGCATATTGAGTGAAGTATTGAAGAACCATACATTTGTCTACTAAGATTCGATGTGTTCAAAAGGCATCATGAACATAAATGGATCATACTATATATTCCTTAATCCTTGCTACCATTGAATGGTCATTGAAAGGCATCTTTATTGTGTGTTCACTTTAAATGGTAACTGTAGCGTCATTGTTAAAATAAATGGTCCGAATGTCTGTTGCTTAGTCATCCCAAATGAAAAATTGAGGGTTGAAGTTCCTTTTTTATTTTTAATGCTTATTGTACTTGCGGTTTTTTTTTTCTTTCAAATATTTCATTTTTTTTTTCCACTTGCTTTCCTGTAATTAAATATTTGGGGCTTAAATACTTAACCTATATCAGACACGTTCTCCACTTGCTCAACGTACCCATTCCATTTGGCAGGTCTATTGGAGAAATTTTTACATGATTCGCGGCGCCAATCACAAGCAATTGTGTCAATTTTTTGTTTACGTGATCTCATCTGATTGGTTGGAATTATGTCAGTATTAAATTGTTTAGAAGTCCTAACAAATAACCCATACATAAATGAGAGCTGTATGGATGTGATTGATATCCACCATTTTTTTTTTTTTTCAAATGAAGGGATGGAAAAACTAGTGAATAAAGCTGAGGAAAAGGTAGAGATCAATTCACATATGGTGGTGAAGTTTATTACATCAACAAGGTTGAGATCAATACACATAGGATGGGGTTTACCGAGTTGATCTCCAAATCCAAATTATTTGTTATGCATAATTAAATAATGATTCAAGAGTCTATCCAATGGTGTAGATAGTGAGTCAACTACTTGAAAGACAATCATGTAGTTTATCTGTTAAGCAAGAAGGCTGTTGTAACCGAATATTACGACGTCGAGGGGAGCATTTGACCAACGTGGTTGTTAGATGCTCTCCTCCCTTGATTTCTTTTGTTTTCTAATCTTTTATGCTTGCTAGTGTAAAAAAAAACAAAGAAGACAAATTTCAATTACAGCATGGGGCCGTATTCATGCTAACATTTATTTATTTATATTTATATTTTTTATCATTGATTAAAACAAACCATGCAGCACACTAGGAAGCGACACATGCCCCACCAACTGACACCAAACGTGGCCCATGCGAAGCAAAAAAAGCAAGCTGCAGCAACAGCCACACACAAGCATAACTGGTTGGGATTGACGTGGCATGAATTCAGCGCTACAACCAGCAAACCCAACACCGGCCGGTGACCTCGCCGGAATCAGAAGCAGGAAGTGGAGCCAAAGGGGCAGCAAAACTGCAGCAAGACGAGCAAATCCAGGGACACAAACGGGGGAAATCTTGAGCAACGTAAAACACCCGCCGGCGACCCAACAACAGATAATGGAAAGCCCCACAGATACTGGAAAGCACCATAAAACCGAAGCTCCAAAGGATGCCCAGCCTCATAATAAATTCCGGTGACAAGGATCCATGAGCCAGAGTCAATGGCGTCCGGAAAAAAGGCAGCACGGAGCAAAACAACAGAAAGGAGCAGCCAAGCTGCTTTAAAATCACGGCCAACGCGCAAAACCCGGAAACTTGAGTGAAACACCGGCACGCCGGACCAAGAGAAGAACGGACAAAAAGAACCGAAAAGAGGCGTCCCAAAGAGCACGAACAGATAAGTAGCATCAAGAGCCACCCCGACCCCAGAACCCGTGTCCACAGACGAAACAACCCCACAGCGAACAAAAAAAGACCCAACAGCGATCACAGAAAAAACAAGCAAAAACCCAACGCAAACAAGCAAAAAGATACCCACCAGAAAAAACAACCAAATACCGGGATCAAAAGGGAAAGCCATGGTAGAACGGCCAAAACCCCAGGCAGCAATCAAAACACCCAAACGAGAACCCCGGAGAACACTACAGACAGTCGGAGCCGACCACCGGAGGAAAGAGCCCATCCCATAGAAACACCACGGAAACAAAACAAATAACACCTCCAACAACTAAGCAGGAATAGATCCAACAACGAGAAAACGAAACAAAAAAACCCTGATGAAAACAGAGAGGCTCCTACGGGAGGAGAAATCACAACAAAACACCGGAGTTTGTACTCGTAATGACTCGTCCATGCTTAAATTGACTTACAAGTTTCCATTTTTTGTTTTTGTTTGTTGGGTAAACCATAGTTTTACACTGGTACATGATTTGTACATATTTATGTATGGCATACTAATAAGCAGCATTGGTAGACTTCCCTTATGCGTAGAACTACACCAGAAGAAGAAAGAAGACAAGTTGGATACTACATATCACATAAAATTAAATTTCATAGTTTGGGGGATTTTTTTTGTAGTGCGCCAATAGTTTAGAGGGAGTTTATGCATTTAAACCTACTATTATATATGGCATACAAATAAGCGGCATTGGTAGACTACGTCCCTTGCGCATATAACTACTACACCATACAAGTTGGATACGACATATCACATAAAATTAAATTAAGAGACAATCAATATATTTTTAATTTATAATAATAACTACTATTAATGTTCCGTCCTTGGAGACAGATGCGCCCGTAACGGATTCTTCATCACAATAGTGAACTGTTGCTTCTCTGATAGATCAACATCACCATTATCACCAGCCGTCCATTTGAAATACCAAATCAAATTAGCAACAAAATACTCCAAATGAAGCAAAGCCAAACCGGACGCGGGGCAAATCCTCCTCCCCGCTCCAAATGGCATCATCTTGATTTCTCTGCTCCCAGTTATGTCAAAACCACCAGCTTCTCCTCCGACCACCGCCTCTTTATCAGCACCACCGCCATCCCCATTCACAGTAGTAGAAGTCAAGAATCTCTCTGGTTTGAACTCCATGGGGTCATCCCATACTTTAGAGTCCCACCCCATCTCGGCCACCATGAAATTGATGGTGGCATTCTTCGGCACCACGAACCCTTCTAACTCAGTCTCCTCCGTCACCGAGTGAGGCAATACGAAGTGCCCCGGCGGGTGACGCCTCAGTCCTTCCAACACCACCGCTTTCAAGTATGGCATCCTCTGCAAATCCTCCTCCTTTATCACTGTCAACCCCACCTCCTCATCCGATGGTGGCGGCGGAGGCGGTCCCACGACTCCGGTGACCTCTTCATAAAGCTTGGCCTGAACATCCGGATACTTCACCAAGCTAGCCATGATCCACTGCAACGCCGTCGACGTCGTGTCAGTGCCTGCGTTGAGAAATTCCCCGCACAGACTCACCATCTCGTCGTCGTTAAGCTTCCTCTTCTCCTCCGGCAACTCCAGATCCATCAAAGTGTCGACGTACGCCACCACACCACCACCGTACTCTTCTTTCCGTTGTTGTTTCTTGAGAGCAACTTCTACTGACCGGGCTCTGATCAGAGGGATCAATACAGCATCCTGATTCTGTCGCAGCCGTATCAGTTCTTTCCACCGATTCCGGAACAAAATTTTTCCGATGGTCGGCCAGAAATTGAGTATGTTAAATCGGCCAAAACTCAGTAACAGCTCTCGCTGAACTCTTTCAACTTCTTTGATTTGCTTTTCCTCAAGCTTGTCGCCGAAGCACATCAAGACCAGAAGACAGAACATGGCGTACTGAAAATGATCTACCACTATCACGGATTTCGATTCCCATTGCGATTTGTTGAGGCGGTTAATAAGGATGGCGAGAACCCAGTTTCGCGCCGCCGAGTAATTCTTGACGCGGGAAGGGTGGAGTATCTCGGAAGTGAGGTTACGGCGGAGGGTGCGCCAAGTGGGGCCGTAGGCGGCGGAGCTGACGTTGTGTTGGTTGCTGTTGATGATCTTGCCGGTGGCCAGCGCCTTGGGGCGGTCGGAGAAGACGGCGCCGTTCTGGACGAGGACTTTGTGGGCGAGCGAGTGGTTGCCGACGAAGATGGCCGGCCGAAACCCTATATGCAGAGTGATGATGGGACCGTACTTTCGCCGGAGATCTTTGAGGACGTGTTCGATCTCTGAAAACGACATCCGTAGCCATAGAAAGTTTCCGATGATCGGAAAGGTAGAGGGTCCCGGCGGAAGCTTCTTCTTGTTGTTGGAAGAAGAAGAAGAAGAGAAGAGGAGGTTGAAGAAAGATTTGATCAGTGCTGAGATGCATAGCGAGACGACGACGATGAACCAGGTCTCCATGATTATTATCTTCAACCGTGTGTGTGGTGTTTAATGATTATGTGTGTATAAATAGAGGAGATCTGACATTCTCTTTGAAATCATTCCTCAATCCGAAAATAAAGGTCCGTGAGGCCCACAATGTTGCAAAACTAATGGGTCCCTGAATATAATATAAGTATCTCTTCCTCTTCCTCTTCACTTTTTGATGTATAAGTTTTAACCAAAATTCAATGAACATCATCATCTGTGACTACTGGTGTCTATTTGTAGATTCGGAATCCTCCGACACATTCCATCATTCGTGATTTTTTTTAAGACTTGTATAATATATATAGTTACTTTAACTTTAAATTTTGATGATGGTAAAAGCTTGTTATTGATTTGACGATAAGGAAGGAATATGTGGATAAGGATTAGAATTTTGAATAGAGTATATGATTACGTGGTTTGTTAGATAAGTTGGATACGAAGGAAGTACACGGGTTAAGAATTTTCCTTGTACGATTATATAATTTTATTTATATAGCATTTTGTTAACTGTGTGTTGTTGATTTGTACATACAAAATTAGAGAGGAAATTGAAAGTTGTGGTTGAGTTGTATCAAAATTTAAGCAAACTAGGCAAGTTAACCTTGCTTTCTATATTCATATATTATCTGTAACTTGATTTGTTTCTTAACAATATTATAATAATTTGATGAGTATTTTAATGAAATGTCTAATAATGGTGGTATAATTATAGAACTTGATATATTTTTATATTTCGGAATTCAGTCAATTATCTGAACTTTAGATTTAATTCATGTATGTGTATTTATTTATATATATTATTTATTTATTCATTCATTCTTGAAACTGGATTATGAGAATTATAAAGTATTTATTTATTTATTCTTTGAAACTGGAATATGTGAATTATAATATGTGTGTATATATATATATATATATGACGACCGAATAAGAAGTGCAATTACATGTTATGCGGCAGATATTATGTGTATATCTTTTTGCCGCCACGGGAATGTTCATAGTAACTTTTAAGTATATGTAGTTAGATATTTGTTATTAGTCTAGAGTTGTGACGTGAGATTGTTGGTCTTTGGCTTTGGATCAATTGAGATAGATAGTTAGGTGTTTAGTATGGTTGATTGTTGTCATTTTTCATGATTAAGTGTGGGACCAAGGTTAAGGCTAAGGAGAATAAGAAGTGCATATACATGTTATGCGGCAGATATTATGTGTATATCTTTTTGCTGTCAAGGGAATGTTCATAGTAACTTTTAAGTATATGTAGTTAGATATTTGTTTTTAGTCTAGAGTTGTGACGTGAGATTGATGGTCTTTGGCTTTGGATCAATTGAGATAGATAGTTAGGTGTTTAGTATAATTTTGGATTTCCATGGTTGATTGTTGTCATTTCTCATGATTAAATGGGGGACCAAGGTTAAGGCTAAGGAGTTGTAGTTTGGATGAATTTTAATTCTTAGATCAAAGAGATCTGTGTTACTTACTCGAATGTGTACGTGTACTGTAGTATTTGAGCCAGGAATTAATCCTATTTGATTAATCCTTTTAGGTATATATTTTACTATTATGTGTTATGATATAGAAATCTTAATTTAGATTTTTTCATGGACTAGTTGTGGACTTAGAGAGTAAAAAGAAGCTACATATTACCGTACTCTGGTTGATAAGGATGAATGGTCTTGATTAATACTATTAAATGTTGTGGACGTGATCAAGGGTCATATGGGGAGTAGACGTACAATACAGCCACACGTATATTTTTGATAGTCAGGGACTATACGATTCACACCATTTTTGGTTGAGGGGAGCCCGGGGCTTATGTGAGGTAAGTGAAATTTAGTAATTAATTATTGAGATGATTAATAGATTTATAGTGTAAATTCGAGATTCTGATAATCTTGTGACATAATGGTATTGAGATATAATATTTTTGAGGAAATAATTATTGGATGGGAATGAGATTATAGTAATATAGTTGTACCAAGTGTGATAGTAGCTATAGTGACTATTAGGTATTAATATTTATTTACTTCGGCAATATTAATACTTAGTAGGTGATTTGATGAAGGTGATTAATGTTTCTTTTATGGGTTGCATTGAAGTATGGGAATACAAGGTATGAGTTAACTTGTTGAACGATGATAGTGTTTAGCAATTTCTTGCTGAGCTTATGAGCTCACCCCTTTATTTCTTTCAGGTGCACATGGATTCAATGGGAAATTCAGGTGCACATGGATTCAATGGGAAATTGAGATTTTTTGGATTTTCACATATTGATTTTATTATTGTTTCTTAACAAACACTTTGTAATAAGATTCATTTAGTTGGTGGAATTTTAATTAGTTTCATTTAGTTGGTGGAATTTTAATTAGTTGGGGATGTAATAAATTTCTTTTGGATTGATGAATTTTTTAAATAACATATATTTTTACTAATTTAATCATGATTTTTGGTGAATATATGATGTGAGTCACATATCAAATTTTAATATAAGACATTAATTCTTTTGTTAGAATTTTTGAAGCGTGACAAGATGTTATCGCTCACGAGTTATGAAATTCATTCACAATATTTGTATTTACTACTACAAAAGATCAATGTTCACACGTGGCTCACGTTGGATTCACACCACAATTTGCAACAATTATTTAAAGTGGGGAGGATGAATAGTAACGTAATTGTGGTAGAGAAAGAGTGAGTACCAGGTAGTACATTTTATCTGGGTATCAGGGGCTCAATCCAGCATTGACTGCATTCCACTTTGACTCATT